AGATCAAATTGACATATTGACAGAATGGACATCAAAGATTATGAAGTTCGTATGTAAGCAACCAAATCGGAGCAACTGTAATATTTCATGCTATTAAAACAGTATTTGATAACATTTATGTACTATAAAATTATATACATTTTGAACCCCCGATGCGTAGAATAATGCAAGACCATGAGATCGATGCCTTGTATTAATAGAATGAATGTCGAAAATTTCTATGGGATATAATTAAGCCATAAACTTTCCAAAGGACCGCAATATTTCGAGATAGATATATAATACAGGATGATACTTGTGTATAAAGGAATGGTGTTCGTTGTCATATCCGCGCTGCGTAGAATGATATAAACCATGTGACGCATATGATACATAGACAGAATCAGTTTCAAAAACTTTGATTTGCCATTTTTAATCCCCCAATATTACCAGAGGACGATCATATTCCACGATTGACAAATAACGTTAAATGATATTTATGTACAGCAATATGGTGTTCACAGTGATCCTTGCGGTACATAGAATAATATAATACCATCACATCGAGGTAATATATTGACAGAATCAATGTCGAAATCTTTGAATTGTCATCGACACCAGAAGACCTTGAAAATCCGGGGTCAATATATGACATCAGATCGCGGTTGTATATCAAAAAATAATACAAGACGATCAAATCGAGATAATGTATTAATAGGATGAATTTCAAGAACTTTGAATTGTCATGTTAGCCGAACCGTAACGGAGGACCGTTTCATTTCGGGGACGATAAATAAAAGTGAACGTCGTTATGTAATGAAAAATTATGTTCATTGTGATCCCCGCGATACGTAGAACAGTATAAGACCATCATATTGAGTTAATTAATATATTGACAGTGTGAATGTTGAATATTTTGAATAGTGATATTTACTCCCCGAAACATACGTTAATACTACGGGGCTATTAGGTAATATTAAATCGTTGTTATATCTCAAAAATTTGTGTTCATTGTGACGTCAACGATACGTGGAATAATGTAAGATCATCATATCGACACAATATATTGACAAAATCAGTGTCGAAATATTAGAATTGTCATATCTAATCCGTGTAACATACTGGAGCACCGTAGTACTTCGGGGTCGATAGAAAACACTATATAGTCGTATTATGTATAAAATTGTGTACATTATGAACCCCGCGAAATGTAGACTAACATAAAACTATCAGATCTAGATAATATATTACCAGAGTGAATTGTCGAAAATTTTGAATGGTCAGAATTAAGCACCAAACCAGAATTAAGTACCGGAGAACAGTAATATTTCAGAGTTGACAAATAATATTAGTTCGCCATTATAAATCAAAAAGTTGCGTTCCTCGAAATCGTTCCTTCGATGCATTCAATATTGTGAGACCAAGAGATCGAGATAATATATTCAGAAAAATAATGTCGAAAACTTGAATATCACATCCAAGGTTGAATAATACATCCAGGTAGGTAAATGATAATAGACCGTTGTTGTATACTAAAAAATTCTGTTCAGTGTGAACCCCGCGATGCATAGCAAAATATAAGTCTGTCAGATCGACATTATGTCAATATAAAGGCAGAATGAATGTTGAAAGTTTTGTGCGGTCATATGTAAGACTGTCACCGTCCCTAAGGACCTTAACGTTTCGGAGTGGATAAATAATATTAGATCGCAGTTATACATTAAAAAATTTTTGTTAGAACAGTACAAGACGATCAAAGGAATGTAATCTATTGGTAGACTGAATGTAATATCTTTTAAATGGTCATATGTATGCCCCGATTCGTACTGATCGTATCTTTTCGAGGATTATGTAAAATATAAAATCGTACTTCTCTATTAAAAATTTTGTTTATTTCGATACCCCTGAAGCGTAGAATTATGAAGGACAATAAGAAGTATTATGAATAAGGTACAATAAGGAAGAAGAGGTACAATAAGGTATTATATTGATTAAATAAATGCTGAATATTTTGAATGATCATAAGTAAACCCTGGTACGTTTCGCAGGGGTCCATTATTTCGGGAATGCTAAATAATACCTAATTGTTGTTTTATACTAAAGAATTTTTTCATTTTGATACTGGCGATTCTTGTGATTTTATAAGACCATCATATCCAGATAATACATTGATAGAATGAATGTAGAATTATCTAATTTATCATATGTGAGCCCCGATACTTGCTGGAGGAGCGTATAATTTCGGGGACGATAAGTAATAACTAAATCGTTGTTTTACATTAAAAAATTGGATCGTTTTGATACCCGCAGTGCGTGGAACAATATACGACAATCTGATCGATATAATCTATTGCTAATGTGAATGTAGAATATTTTGAATGATAATAAGTAGGCCCCGATACGTACCGTAGGTGCGCATTAATTCGGGGATTATAAATAACCCTAAACTTTTTTATAGTAATAAATTAAGTTCATTACGACTAAACTTTTTTATAGTAATAAATTAAGTTCATTATGATCACCGCGATGCGTAGAATAACAAAAGGTCATCAGATTGAGATAACATATTTACAGAATGAATGGAGTATATTTTGAATGACCTTATGAATGATCCGAGCGGTACACGTGTACCATATAATTTCGGGGACGATTGGTTATATTAAACTGTAGTTTGATACTAAAAAATACGTCCATTAAGATACCCGCGTTGCGTAGAATAATAGATGACCATGGGACCGAGATATTATATTCATACAAAATTCTACAATTTTTTGTATGACTAAATGTAAGCCCCAACCCGTACCTGGGAGAGTATTATTTCAGGAAAGATAAGTAATATTGGACCGTGATTTTGAATGGTGTTATAATAAAAGGTGTTAATTGTGATCCCCACGATGCACTGAATAATATAAGACCATCAGAGGGAGATAATCTATTAATAGAGAGAATATAGAATGCTTTAAGTGGCCATATGTAAGCCCGGATTCGTACCGGAGCAGCGTATTAATTCGGGGACGATAAATAACATTGGATCGACGTTATATGTTGAAAAATTGAGTTCATTGTAGTCGCCACAATGCGTAGAGCAATGTAAGGCTATCTGATCGAAATCTTCTCTTAGTAGAGTGAAAGTAGAATATTCTGAATGATCATGAGTAAGCACCAAAACGAACGGGTGGAACGTATATTTTCGGGAACAATAAATAACACTAAATAACTAAAACTCGTTTTTATATAAATATATTGTGTTCTATATGATCCCCGTGATGTGTAAAATAATATAAGACCATCAGAGGTAGATAATCTTTGGATAGAGTGAATGAAGAATATTTTACTTTGAATGACCGTATATTTGCCCCGATCGGTACCGGAGAAGCGTATCCCTTGGGAAAACGTAAAATAATGTTGAAACGTCGACATATATTAAAAAAATTTGTTGATTGTAACCAACGCGATGCGTAAAATATTATAAGACATTAGAGAAGAATAATCTATTAATAGCGTGAATGTACAATGCTTTGAATGATGAATATAAGCCTCCATCCGTACCTGAGGAGTTTATTATATCGGGGACAATAAATAGTATGGGATCATCGTTATATATTAAAACTGCGTTCACAGTGTCCCTCGCGATGCGTAGAATAATATAAGACCGGCAGAGGGAAATAATCGGTTGATAGATTTAATGTAAAATGATTTGAGTGATCATATGTGTCAGAGTT